CCCCCCCCCCCCCCCCAATAACCTGCTTACAAGTCAGATGACTGCTTAGAAAGAGTTATCTGGAAATTAACAAAGATTCTGAAACCTAAAACAGCACCCTGCTGCTACCATCTTTCAGGTATATGTTTTTGCAGGAAAAAAAAATTATTAAAACAATACATACTAACTTTGCCTTCAATGCTTCCTACTCTCTTCCCCACCACCCTCTAATATAAACGCAACCCAAACTTCTGACTCAGGAAACAAAAAAAAGGAAAATCAAGCTTAATGAACAACGCTTAACTACTTTCTTCAATGGGGCAGACTATTCTTAAGAAGGGTAAGAATATAAATGGAGCTCTCAATGTGCTCCAAAAAAAAAAAAAAAAAAAATTACTGTGGTATTTGGACAGAAACTAACTTAAATAAGACACACCTTATACCTGAGTACATTTACCAATGGGAAGCTACTTAGAATCCAGAAGAGACAGATAAAACCCCAAAGTTTAGTTTGACTTCTTGTTCACACTCCCAGTGCCTCTCAAATTTACAGCAGACAGACTGCCTTCATGCCCAAAAGTCGTCTCATAATTCCCCAGACAGGGGCGCTGTAATTTTGTTACAGCCATCAGCCAAGCCAACTTGCAACGAGGTACCAATCCAACGCATCGCCCATAACCCCTCTTCCAGGAGGCCTTAGGCAGTCATGCTCAAATAGTATATTTTCCTGAATTATACATGAGAAAACCATTTATAAGGAGTGCCAAGAGTTGTCTAGCTTTCATAGCCATTCTATTTTTAAATATTAATAAGTTCAGAAAAGTAGACCGCATGATTTGCATGGCTAGCAAAATGAGACATTAGTTTCATGTTAAGATAAACAACTAAGTTGGTAAAAAAACCCCACCATAGCTCCTAATTACCCCAGTTATATTTCTTTCACCTTTTGCATCACAAGTCATGTCTTAAATACAGAGATGATTCATAAACAATACGAGCACTGTTTATACTCACGGGGTTTCCAGCATGACCCTGCACACACTAGCCATGGTGCTTAAGCAATCTGTTGTATTCTCTATCGGTAAATTTTTATTCTGCAGAAGATAAACAGTTTCCAATTCAATTATTGTGAAATATTATACTACAAAACCTAAATCAGATCAGTGGTCTGCTCACATGGCAATGTGGAAGAATTAAAAACATCAACACAACTATGGTAAATCAGGTAGCCTCGCACTGGTTTTTAAAAATGTTACAATATGGATTAGCAACTTACAGAGTAAAGTTTACCATATGGGTTTTGCTTGCTTGTTTGTAAAGAAATAAATCATTGACACTGCTGACTTTTGGGAAGTTTTAAAGGAATCCTGCTCTTTAAAGACAGAAATTTCTATAGACAAATACATGCATCTGCTGCAATAGTAAGACTTGGATGTTTGTCTGCAACAATTTTAAGAAATGTAAAATAAGACACCATTTTTCTCAAGGCATTTCAAATGCAAAGCAGAACTTAAGGAAAAAATATTAAAAGACATGTATCTTTTTATTAATCATGTAATGTACAATTATTTTTTATTAAGAAATAGTATGCATTCTTTGCATGCAAGACAAAAATCATCACAGTTACAGAAGACAAGCACAATACTTGTAGTGACTGGATTTTGCCACTAATATTTATTTAGATAGTTAAGGATAAATAGGGATGTGTCAAAATGTTGACACATTGAACTTTTCCAGTTCAGGTTCCTCCCTTCTTCTGCAATAATATAAGTATACTTGACTTTACACAGCACAACAGAATGTCTTGGGAAGGAGAAAAGGAAGCTACATTGCAATTCCGTTGTTCCCTCCTTCAGGCACAACCAAGCTATTTCCCTTTCAATTTTCTGAAGTTTCTGCTCTAAACCACCACCAAAATGCAGGCAACATACTTACCTCTCCTACCTCCCTCCTCAAGGAAAGCTATCGATAGCAATGTTGTAATGCTATCCATTAACCTTTTGTGACACATCCACAAGGTGGCTACGTGAACTTACTCTAACCTCCATGGCATCTGAGAGAGATACTTTATGTTTCTTGAGGCTCAAAAAACCAAGTTCGATTTCTAGGTGCTAGATTAAGCCTGGTACAAGAGTTTTGTCTTGTAAAATTATGTCTGGCCCTGCAGTGCTTTGAAGTACACTATCCAAGCTATAAATTTATACTCTTACCTCTGACACAAACTTTGTTGTAGCATCACTTAAGGTTTTCAACATTGGCGTTGCTTCAGCATAAAATAAAGACATTCTGTTTGCCAACTCATTATTTACTTCATTTTCTCCCTCTGCCTATAAAACAAAAGGAAAAAAGAATTTTGTTGTTCTGTACATGAAAAAGATAGGTGGTAGTATAAGATTATATTTCAACTCATCCAAGGGTTACCTACTGGGACATTGTTAATCCTCATACGGCTCAGAGTTCTTCTATAGTAGCTGAAGTCATTCTGTATAGCAGGATTTGTCATCTATATAGATATGGAAGTAAAACAATTGTGAAAAACTCAAGAAAAATATAAGGACAAGTATTCATAAAATGTAGTACTGATAAAAAGAAAATATTCAGCATTCTGAAGTAAAAAGGCCTGTGACATTGGGAAGTGATATGTAGAACATAAAGCTTTCTGGTTAAATTCTCAGATTTTTCAGAACAAGATCTAACAAGAACAAGAAATGGAGTAGTCTCCTATATACGAATTTGAAATTAGTAAATTGAAAAAAATGGCTTTGCTAGTTTGACTCCAAGGATCAGACCAGCAAATTAATATTATTTCAGCTTAGTTCTTTGCACATTAGCAAGAAAATAGCTGGACTATGGGTGTGCACGTCCTAAAAGGAGCAGCATTATCCCAAAAGGTATGCCAAATTCAGATGAAGAAACATGATTAATATGAATTGAAATATAACAAGTGCCTAAAGCTAATATGATTTTTCATCTGCTTTCCAGTTCAATCTAACTCTAGGTCATGCGAACAAGCCGAGCATATTAGAAATTTCAGTATCTACTGCACGCTCTTTTCTAGAACAGAACACAACACAATCCAGATTGCTTCAGTAAATATATTTGTTTTCTTTTTGCTAGCCTTTGTGCTTACAAAATTATAACAAGTTCTTACCTTGAGCTCATCAAATCGGAGTGTAAAGTGAAGAATTTCTGCAAACTGCTTAGCAAGAGCCTGCTCTCGCTCCAGGTGTTGCGTTGGTGAATATGGAGTGCTTGTTAGGGCTCCCAACAGACCTCGCAATCCTGCCTCTTAAACAAGAGGAAAGTATTTTGCAATATACAACTGCACCTGCTTCTTGTATCTCTATTGACTGATATGCTAGACTTAAAATATACATCTGCCAAAATACATGGCAATTAAAAATAAAGGGGCTTGACGAATTGCTTCTGTGTGCCACTGTTACCGTATTTACTTATAAACTGCTGTAAAGACTAGGTCTAATCAGTACTGACAGCCATGAAAAAACTTCTTGAAAAGTTTTATTCCAGCTTTGCCTGCAGCATTTGTGTAAAACATATTTCAATAACCTGTATTAGCAGACTGCAGCCTTTAAGATAACACAGAATTCAAGAGGTGCATACCTATCAGCAGAAGTCATGTTTGTTTTAAGATAAACTTATAATCCAACTTCCTGCTCATCTTGAGAAAAATACCTCACCTCTTGAACAAAGCAGAACTTGCCTGCATAAAGCTTCCATTTTTTGAGCTCATTTTTTTTTACGAGCCATGCTAACAACTGTGTCTAAAAGTGAGGTAACACAAACAGTTTGTGAAAAAACAAATAAAGTCTAATAGGTTTTATCAGCTTAGACACATCAGTCAAGTTAGTTTTGTAAGTGGCATGAAGCACCATCTTAAGTATTGCACCTGCATGAACTAAGATCAGACATTTCCACAGACCAAATTATTTCTGGTGTTTGAGGAGGAAATAATACAGTCACTTTTAAGTAATCTTGGTATCAGAAATATTAAGAGTTAATTCCCAATTAATTAGCCTACTAATTTTCAAAACAATCAGCTGGTTAGTGCTTTCCAGAGTTACTAAAGGGGTAGAGAAAGAAGATGACAACTAAGTGCCTGTTGCCTCTCTCCTCTCAGCATCCATTGAAGCAAGTTTGCTTTCACATGCAAGAAGACAGTATGCAGATATAAGTAAGATTCAATCCAGTGTACAGAAGGAATCTATGCAATATGAGCTTTTATCTACTAACAAGGGGTTGACCTAGATGCAATCACATCTGAATATGCCAAACATACTAATTAATGAAGACAAAAACCCCCAAGTTAATACCATTCCACTTACCTAGTCTTTGAGAAAATTCATAGAATTTCTTTAGTTTGCCTACTAGTGGAACAACTGCACCCCATGCCTTCTCTTGCAGCTTCTCATCACTGGGATGCTGTATTGCCTTAAATTAGAAAAAAAGAGGAAAAAAGTATGCTCGGATTAAGAATAACTGATACACGGCTGGAAAAAAAAAATATGCAGGACAATTGTTTGAAGAGCTAGTAATTAAAAATTCTACCTCCTGAGAAGCTTCCAGTTGAGAGACAAGCCTGTACTAACCCACGTCTGTTCCAAAAAGTTCTATATACTTGTGTTCAAAATAAGTATCCAGAATAAGAAAACAGCTTGGAGAGAGTATAAAGAAATTGTTAAAAATTAAGCTACTCGAATAAGAAAATTTACGTAACTAGATCTAGTTAACTAAAATCAATAACTTTATTGGGGCACCTCCAAGCAAAAAAGTTTAGTGATCAAAGCCTCATCCTAATGTTGGTATCTATGACCAATTTCTGAATTAGTGAAGAGGAAAAAAAATAAATTCAAATTTGCTGTGAAATTCAGGCTAAATATTACAGTAGGAACATTTCAGCATAATCAACAAAAAGCACCACCAAGACATAGTGTATACAGAGCTTTACAGTAAGCTTCTCAGACAAAGCCTTAAATTCAATCTCTCCAGGTTTTTATGATAGAAACTAGACTACTTAGCAACTGCAAAATTACTAAGAAAACAGAAATAAAAATGCTCATAACTATCCTGCTGCATCTTCACGGCCAAGTCCTTGATTCCAAAAAATCTGTTTCAATCAACCCTGGGCTGTGAGTTGCAGCACACTCCTCTCTGGTCCCTAGAAAGTTTCCTTCCTGCGATGTCTGCCTCCTCTCAGGACTGTCTCTCTTCTTTCTCCATGGGAGCTGCAGGCTTCCTTGCTGAGACACACATTCCTGCCTGATCCTACAGCCTCTCTGTGAACATGCTCCTTCCTTGAAGAACAAATAAGCTATCTCCCCTCCTAAGCGTTTTGTGTGACACAGTTGCCCTTCTTAAACCTACCTGATGAATTCAACAGAAAGAAAAAACCATGGTACTTTAATTAAAGCTGAATGGCTATGAGTATCTCAAATTCACCTGGAGTGAGCAGAGACTCCTCATATCTAACAATATTTCTTAGGATATGTTACAGTGAGTAACTCCTCACTTTAGGAGCAAAGCAGCCCCCATTGCTGCATCTGAGGAAGAAGCAAAGGGGGTTGAGAGAGCATTTATTCCACCTTTTCTTAAAGGTAAAGGAAAAATGGATTGACATGCTGTACAGAAACTTTGCTTCTGTTCCAAACGTCTACTTTAGTAAATAAAAGCCAATTAAAAGGGATCGAAAATGAGGTGCCCTTTGTGTTAGGATTATCACACATCAGACTTCTCCAATTAGCGTACAAAAGGTGTTGATACTACTCAATACTGCATTGTAGTCATGCCACGCTCCCTCCAAATTCACCGCTAACTCAAGAAGAGCTTATGTAGGAATATAATAAAAAAAAATCAATAGCAACAATTCCATAAAAAGTTTGAAAAGCATCATTTGCTATTACATGTGTGCATTAATATTATTGAAACAAGTGACGCCTGTTTTTGCTGCTAAAAAGGAACATTCTAGAGCAGAAATTCAAGACAGCAATTTTAATAGACAACATGCTCTGCCAAAAGAGCTCCTGCAAGCAAAGTTAAAATCCAGCAGTATTTGGTTAGGATCAGACAACCAACAACCACAGGTTGTGCACAATCATAATGCTCTAGCTCACCTCTCGTATTTCATGGCCAGCTCCTCTATATGACTGCAAGTCTTCCAGTATTCCTTCTGCATCCTTTAACACTACATTCACCTGATTATAAATTTCCTTTTCAGATTCTGTAGGTTGGGCATCTAAACAGTAGAACATATTAAATATATATATATTTAACAATAATATGGAATTCAACAGGCACACCATCACCTATGGGACAAATTCTTTATGCAGCACCTCATCAAGAATTTTCATTCTCTGGAGAGCTACTACAACGTATGAGGGACTCCAAGAGAGTAATTGGATTAATTTTAGTAGACTTTTAGCTTCATTTTACATCCCAAAAATCCACCTGGAATCTATCCTTCCTGACTTATTTAAAATTGAGTTCGGAGAAGAAGTCCTGACAAGTCATCTTTGACTGTCGTATCAATCTCACCTTGGGGTACAGTACAAACTCAATGGAAGAGACTTAGGTAAGAACTCAAAAGACAGACTCACTGCAGATTATTACAGGAGGTGTTCACGTCTAATTGTTATCTAGAAACACTGCATCAGATTATTTTCCATCTTCCCTGCCTCCTCTTTTACTGGTTGGGAAAGGAGCCATATCTTTTATTTCTGAATATATTTAATTCTCAAAACATATTCTTTATTGCCCTAATTGCAAAATCAGAGCTGAGAACCAAAAGATCTAGTGTAAACTTGGTGGGGATTTTCTTCCCTCTCCCCTTTTTAAGGATATATGCTGTCTCTCAGTTTTTCTATAATTAGCTAAAGACTTTCCAAAAGTATATTTGATCATCATTTCAAAAAGCCACATATACATGTTTAAAGAAATGTGATTCAATAAGAAGTATGTTTTGAGAAGAATCAACAAAAGGCTTTAAGCTTTAAAAATAATCACCTAGTACAAATATTCCAGACCTTATTTATCTGATATGAGATCAATTTTTCTTTTAAAGTTCTGATGGAAGCTATAAGGTTAGATCCTTTTAGACTGATATATATATATATATAAAAAAATTTGTTAAGTTATTGAAGCTGCTACTGAAGGTCTTACCAAAAAAAACCCCAAAACCCACCTCAAAACCCTTCTCTGTTTACACGGGCAAAATATGTTATGAAATAAATATCACTATATTTTAATGCAGGATTTCCAATGTCAAAAGCCAGGGTATTAACAATAGAATTTTTTTTTTTTTTAGGGACAAACAAAATCTATCTACAGACAATATATACTCATGACTTCGAGCAGTTTAAAGAGTCTGGAAAATGTCTTTTTAAAAATGCTTTTCCATGATGCATATGTATAACTGCCACTAACAGTGATGGAAGTTAGGTATGTACTTACATTAAAAAGAAGAAGGAAAAAAAAAAAAAGAGACAGTATCCTAGTGTTACATATTAGGAAAAAAAAAAGAAAACAAAGTTTGTATTAGGAGAAAATAAGTTTCACATGCATTGCCTGTCTGGATTTTGCTGTAATTTTTGTATACTTATTTTTATGTTTTAATGCATAGAGAGTGAGCATTATTAGCAATTATGCCTATATATAGACCTTGCAACAGTTTAACTGTGATATTTTGAGAACCATCAAGAATTATGGGGTGAAAAAAAGCTGGTCACTCCTTTTAAACAAAAATAAAAGAGCACCACATTGATTAGGCATCAAGTAAAAGTGGCCAGGGCTATTCAGATCATCACAAAGGTCACATTTATAATTTTGAAAGCTGCTGAAGACTGCTGTAAGAAATGAAGACAAAAAAAATGAGGGAAAAGAGCAGACAGGTAAGCACCAGTTGACTGGCAGCAGTTCATGCACAAACATGAAATGCTATAGTGAAATACAGACTAAAACATGAAGCTCTGTAGCATTCCAGATTGTGTTGTTAAATAATGCAATCAAGACTTGCCACTTGGATCATCTCACACTGAGTACGTCTCTTGCCTATTTAATTTTTCATGCCATTTTTTCTTTACTCTCTTTAGTAAGGATAGTTCATTTTTCAAGGGCAGGGTGGGGGACGGGATGGGACAGGACAGCAGAAGGGCCCACAAGAACTCCTCCTCCTCATTTCAAAACCCACCAACAAGCAGAACAGATGTAATACTATGACCTCCCAAGTTTAGACATGAAAATCATTTTTCAGACACAAATTAAGTGGTCTTCACTGAACAGCTGGCTATGCAAGTCAACACCTTCAAAACCTCTGTTAGTGTGTTTCACTTAGGATATAATCAGCCACCTACTGTATTTAATTTCCCTAAAACATTCCAGGAAACATTTCTAAAATAATGGTTTATACGTGAATTTGTTGGGGTGGTGGGTTGTTTGCTTGTTTGTTTTGATTATAAAAAAACTTCTAAGTATGTAACTTTTAAAATCCAGTAGGCACTGGATTATTTCTTTTGGTATGTATTTCAGTTTGGTGCACCTAGTCCTCTCCAATAGAAGAAATCTGTAAACCTGATTTGTCCCAACTAAGTTCCTCTCCCATCTGCAATTCTTCTGCACCTAGAAAAGAGCTCAAATTTAAAAAGTAAACCTAAATTCTTTTATATTCACTTCACAATACATTTAGGATTTTATTAGAATAGATTTAAAAGGCACAATATAGAAAATCTTCAAGCCCTAGTGCTGGCTAGCTCAGAGCAGTTGGTTTATTTGCTTCTCAGTGCTGGTTAGGGCACTGCATTCTGAAAGCCCATCACAGGCGGAGAAAGAGGGAGAGGTTCTTCTTCCTAAGTACTGTTGTAATCTTGAATAGATGGAGGTAGCATTCCCACATATCAATATGTGCCTGAGGACTCAAGCTATAGGACTTTCACTTGAGAATCACTAATTGTGGAACTCGTTTTCCTCAATGTGGAGTGCACAGAGCAGGAAAGGGAGTTGTACTTCTGGAGTTAGTCTTCACGACTAAGAAAAAGCAACCAGCAATGCGGGGCATCCAAACAGCAGGATGAAGGGATTTCCCTTTTCCCCTTCCATGCATGTAAGTTTCTGCTACAACTTTATGATAAGGCTCTGCCTTTACCCAGCAATGTTTTCTACAGAAAGAACAAATGCAGCAAGCACAGCACAGCTCACTGAAATGTTCTGAGGTTTGATGTTGTTGCCACAGGAGTCGACCTCTGGTTATTCAGGGCAACTTTCCCATTTTTAATCCAACACTAAGAAAAGTGAAGACTGAGGTCCCTCACGTAAATGGGGAGTTCTTATTTAAATTAATTTTAAATTTAATCAGAACGTTACTGAACTAGATGCAATATACAGTTAGAGTTCAGAAAGCTCACATGATAATGCATTAAAGACAAAAGAGTAGACTTGAAAACAATATACAAACACCGTTATGTGAACTAAATGCTATGGAAATATGACAACATATTGCATGCGGGGAACACACACATTTAGTGACTGTTTAAAAAAATATTTGGCTAGCCTACAGAACTAGTAGGGAGAGAAATTTGGGGTGAAAAGTTTATACTGCACAGCAGACACTATTTAAACTGAGATTTTTCCCAGGGAAGAACATATCAACTCATCTGAAACTGGCTGGGACAAAACTCGCAAGCAAGGGAGAGAAAAATCCCAGACTGCTGGAGATGAAATAATTTATTCATCTCTATCATCATTACTATGGAGAATGCTATCTTTGTGGCTCCTCTGAAACCTAGCCAAGTTCTTTGGAGATAATGCAGAATACTTTCAGCGCTCACTTGAGATCACCATCTGCAACCAAAAGTACTCTGGATTTTAGCTACTATTCAAATCAGTAAATTTGGAAAGGATTTGCACTGCGACAGTGATGACACCAATGCAGAAGTTGAGCTGTAAGTTTCCCACATTGTAGGTGCCTGTTTCACATTAACAATATTGTCCTTACAAAGCTGTGCATTTTACTCTGCTCATATTAAAGTGGCACTGCAGAGACTTTAGTAGAATACTTAAGCAACTATTTGTTTCAAATAGGTAAGGTGAATGACCAAAGAAAACATACACTTAACCAGTGGTAAGGCAAGGAGAAGCCAACAGCCCATTATATCATTTATCAGAACATTTTTTGCATGTATTCTGATAGTCAAGTCACACAAATCACTGGAATTAAGCACCAAGATAAACATCTGGAAAAAAAAAATCTTAGAAAGCAGTCTAAAACCTTTCTAAATCTGGAGTTTGTATCCCTATAAAGGTTTATGGACATTAGATTTTTAGCTCTTCATGGTACTGTGCAAGAAATGTTTAACTAGTCTACTCACTCCAAAGATATCCGTGGATTTAAGAACAAAAGACTTCAAACTGTGTATTACTGGGCCAGGCGTAACATAGAATGGCAAATTTGTTTTTAATACAGAGCTTACTTGCTCTTCCACATAAAAACACAATGTTAAGTATCACAAGATTAAGTGCCAAGTCTTGAAGAAAGATCTTGACTGTGTCAAAGCCAAGATCCTGTCAAGGCAAGCTATCTGAAACAGTAGAAAGAAGCATGGATACACAATATAGCAGCAAAAAACAAACGCAGGACAGGGTCCAAAGTGAATAAAGAACAGTCTAACAATTCAGCCATAATATAAGTCACTTAATTTGACTGCGTATGTAAACATTTCATGTCAGCAACCTGCTTACTCTCATGCCAAATCTTGTTCATGCTCAAAACATGCACTTTAAAACAAAATTGATAGCTAAAGAATCATTATTCTTTTAAAAATAGCAGCAATTGTTATTGCAATTGATTTTAGAATTATGCCTCTTGTATCCAGCTAACTTGAATTTAATTTAATCCAATCAAATAGTCATTATTTGCAAATTAAGCTGGAGCTTCACAACTCCAATATTCTCCCATATCAGTTCTCCCTACTTCACTAAGTTGTACCTATTCTAATGCATCTCACATATGTGAGATTTCAAGTGGGTTTAAACAACATTTTTCTTTCTGATTTTTGAACAAAGCCCTTGATTATCTTCCCTTTATGAATAATATGTATGGCTATAATCTTCCAATAACAATATATTCAGAAGAGACAATTGATAAAATCAACAGTACAGGGTAAGGGATTAGAGAAGTTACAACTTTAAACATCACTGAAGCAAAAACATGTTTCTCCAAGCATTTGCTTTCCCATCAGAACTAAT